TGGTATTTCTTCATGCTTTAATGCTTTACTTTACAACCTTAACAGCATTATTCATCTTTTATACACTATTTTTAGCAATTCTAGAATAAGTACCTTTTGTGGGGTTTAGATCCAGAGCTCCTAGGACATTTCAAGATCCTGCTGCTGCCACCACAGTACTGGTATCAATATTAGCTTACTTTGTAAAGGTTACCAGTGGAATTCTGACGTACATACTGCCAGAGTGCGTACGTGCCAGAGTGCTGCAGAGCTAATAAAGAGTCCTCAGAAAAATGTTAGCTGCTAGCATTCCTGAGTTTATGCCTAGATTTGGCACAGTAAGACAGCAATGATATCAGTAAGTGTAGCAAACTGCTGAAATTCAGTATTGTTAGTCTGAGTGTTTGGGATTCATGGTTTACATATATACTCTCCTCAATCATTGCCTGTTAAATGAATGCATTGATCTTTGGGTGGAGGAGGTAAGAATTTATTCAGTACTAAATACTTTAAAGGATATAGCTGCATTTTAATAGAAGGGGAGAAGTAAGAGAAGGTACAAACATTACCTCTAGCACAGGAATGAAGTGGAAGAAAGAGAATAAAGGGTTCACCTAACAAAGCGTGGAAGAAGCTGCAAAAGCTTGTGGTTTCAGTTACATCATTTGATGTGTCTCACACTAGCTACTAGTAACTGGATGTGAGAAGGAAATCTTCATGCTTCTTATATATTTTAAATTTGTACTTGCTTTCTTAGGCATGCAAAGAGAGTTTGTGTTGACTCGTGTACCTGTTTCTTATCAGTGGAATTACATGCAGCACTGCAGTGACGCTTTACAGCTCAGGGCTTTTCCAGTGCATGCCGTGTTCTCACTGTACATCATGACAGTTTGCCAAAGAATGGATCTTCTTGGATGCAGAGTAATTTTAAATTTGTATACTGTCAGCCCATTCAGCATACTATAAAAACTGATTGTATTTTTAGAAGGACTCATTGCAGCTTATGGCAGAATTAAAACTGGATTTCAGAATCTCTGAGAAGCAAAAAACAAAAAACAACTTTCCACTTGATTACAAAGCAAAATTTCCTTGATATGAAAGTCATTAAAGCGACCTGCTGTGAATCAGCAATTAAAGGGCATAAAAGATAGCTTATAGGAAATCAGATGTAATGCAAGGGAAAAAACAAACCAATTAAACCAATTGCCAGTTTGTTCTGTGCTCAGGTCTCATGTGAGGGAATCAGAAAGCAACTGGGAGGCTGCTTTGCACAGCTTATGCAGTTGTCAGAGTATCTATCATTTCTTCAACTACTTAATTGAGCTATGACAAGAGAGACTTTGGTGCAGCCCTCTAGATGTTTTGCTCCAAATCAAAGTTAGTTCCTTCTGAAGGGGAACTGTGCTTCTATAGCAAAACAAGTCTCTACAGGCACATAACTTTCTGCTGAAATTCCAGCTACTGATTCATGCCACCCAGTTCTCTCTTTTCTGTCCAAACATGGAACTATATTTCTACAACTTCACAGTTAAAAAGAAAAAAGGCCTTCCTGAGCAAGATTTCCATGTTCACTCAGAATTCCTCATGCTAATAATATTAAACTAGGTGGGTTTCATGTCTTCAAGCCAATCAAATTTTGTTTTACAAAAATTTGGAGATTGTGAGTCTGTCTGGATAGCCCTTGTTTAAATTCTAAAGTTATTCAGAATCTGTCTCTGGATGCAAGTATAGGAACCTCATGGAACTTGGAGATTTATAGTGGAGCTAAAAATGTCCCTTTGATACAGGAAGCAAAAACTAATTAGAATAAATTTAGGCAGAAGGGTTACATCTGTAATGATACTGTAGTATGATACCAATCTGCTGTTAGATATCCTTAGGCTTTTAAATTATAGAAATCTCCTTTTTAATTCTTAACCTCTTTAATTCTGTCTGAGGCCTTAAGTGATTAAAGATGGCTTAACTCATTTTAATCTCCTTTATGATCTATCTTCAAAATCACGATCTCAAGGAAAAAAATTATATAAATGTTACTACTTGCGATTGAGAACTACTGCATTTGAATTTCATATTGGATTTGACCTGCTCCAATTTTTTTTTATACTTCTCCAGATCATCCAAAGGGAAATTCATATGTGCTAATACAACAAATAAATATAGTACCAGAGAAGGATTTTTAACATGATATTCAAGACCTGCCTAGATGCTTCCCTGTGCAACCTACTGTGGGGAACTTGCTTTAGCAGGGGGTTGGAATCAAGGATCCCAGAGCTCCCCTCTATCACCTATGATTCTGTGATTCTGTGAGATGCTTATTCTCTCTACAGTTTGGAATAAAATCAGTTGACTATTCTAAATTTAAAACATCTGTGTGTGTCTCATAATCTGAAGTTCTCTGAAATACCAAGCATAATCTAAAATACAGCCTGTGATACATGTTAAGGATTTACCATCTAAGTCCTATGCACAAAGTAACTCCCTTCAAGAAGAGTGTTACATTATTTGACCTGTTAAATGGCTGAGTATCTCTTACAGAATCTGAGCCAATATCAGTTTTCACAGCAGCATTGATCAGAAATAATTGCATCAAAGCCAACACATGCTTCCTCTTATTTAGAATTAAATGAATTTTGGTGCTCAACACTGAAATTGTTGTAAATATGTTTGTTTGTCACATTCTGTAAACTAAAATCTTTGTTGCTCATATAGTTGGATGAGTGTCCTTTCAACTGCACCAGTGATGAGAAAATTTGGAAAATGCTTCCATTACAGTTGAACACAGTATGCAGCTATACAACTGAACTCCGTTGAATGAAATGAAGTATTTCTTAGAATTCCCTTATTACATCCATATATTATAGTATTTTACTTTGATTGTAAGAATTCCAATCCTTTTTTTATGTACAAAGAAGGACCAGTCTTTTTTTTGTTAGCAGGTCTCTTGGATTCCAGCTTTGCATTTTCAAGGCTGTTAATGCAGGGACCAGCCTACATTAACAAAAGCCTTTTCTGCATTCTACAGATTCTACAGAGTAGGCAGCAAAAGAAATTAAAAAAAAAAAAAAACAAAAAGCAAAAAACAAAAAAAGGAATAAAATGAAGTTGAATTTTTTGTTTCCTGAGGCCCAGGTTTCTCTTCTCTTATTCCACTCCCCACCATGAAAAGAAGCAGAAGTGATGCAGTTGTATTTCTTACGCTACAGAGAAGCTTAAAATACTGTGAGACTGTGGAATGTATCCTCTTTTCCTTTACAAAGTGTGAGAAAGTGGTTGTTGCACTGAAGTATGCTATGTTGGATATAGAAGAATCACCTGTTTCTCTGCACCATCAAATACTCTTACTACTGTGCTGGGAAAATGAGTTGTTTGTGATAAGCAAACAGGAGATATTGTGACACTTCATGTTATTCCTGAGCAGACTCCAAACTGAGCTTCCGTCCCACTCTCTAGCTCTGAAGCTACTGTTCTTCTTTTACTTCTTTTTACTTCTCTTATTGTTCTTTTACAGACCTGAAGGTGAACCTCAGAGAGTTCTGAAATGGATTTCTGAGTCATTTTTATTTTGCTCACTATCTTCCTTTGATAAGGGCCTTTTGCACTTTTTACACTAATACAATGAAAAATGCTGTCCTACAGAACCATCTACTCAGGTTCCACGCTTGTTATGAATTTCTTTAATCTGTATGAAACTCCACAGCCCATTTAGGCAGTAGTTCAGTCTTGATACATTGTGGCTGTAACTGCAGCAAAAAATGCCTGCAAAAGTGGCAGATGCTGGGGACAGATAAATCCCATGTTTCTTGCTGCTGATGAAAGAGAGAATTAAGCTGAGCAGGAAAAATCATTGATAAAGAGCCCAGCATGAAATACTGAAACAAAAGGGCTTGTGGGACCTCAGAAAGGGAGCACTTTCCCTGAGCAGAGATGTCTTTCTATCAAATTGACTTGCTGTGACAGTAATCTGCTCTTTATGAACTCAAACAATCTCTTTAGGAATTAGTGATATATATTGATAAATATTAATATGTATTGATAATGTATTTAGTAATTATTGACATAATACTTATATCAGGGCATAGAGAATACTCAAAAGCCCTATCAGATGGTAGATAAGTGCAGAAAAGTCTTATGAAATGGACAAGCTTTCTTAGCTAATCAGGTAATTTTGATGAAGTGAGAACTTAAATCACAGTGAAGAAGTTTCTTATGTTGTAATGGAATGGGAGACTCCCCTATGGATGTAGGATAAGGTAATTGAATTGAAGATTATTTTATACTACGTAAATTCGCAAACAATTTCATATAATTTCTACATATTTTTATGGCAACACTTGAACCCTGGACAGCCTAGGTAGAGTAATACAGAAGTTTGTTTTACAGCTAAAAGTACCACTTGAATATTCCCTAAGAGCTTTGTCTGGACAACATGGTATCCATGTGGGCAACATGGTATCCATCTACTGAATACATAGATTGGTGGGAGGTAAAATTCTTTCACACTTGTCTAGGTACATCAGATGTTGCCAGTCAGCATTAATGGTTGCATCTCAAATATATGCCTAAGTGCTGGGCTTTACAGCACTGTGTAACTTACAAATGATTTTACAAGAATACTTTATATGTATATTATGCTGCAGATATTCTGTACTGATGGCATCTTCCTTTTTTCTTTTTTTTTTTTTGTCACTGTAAGTAGGGCTCACAGTAGAGTTTGAGGTCAGTTAAAGTTGCTCCTTTAACATATTCATTGCTTTAACAGACTCCTAAGTTGGTTAACAGGTGCTCAGAAATGCCAGTATGTCCTGCCCGTAGTAATACCTTGCTTTAACATTTGTTTTTGTCCTTTTTTTTTTGAGCTTGCTTTGTTTCTTTAAGAACCTTCCAATGAGTTGTGCAGTACTGCAAGCCTGATGGTAAGGCCTTGCTGACCATTCTAGCAAGAAAAAAAAAAAAAAAAAAAAACCTCAAAAATAAACGTTTTGGATTTCATTTTATTTGTCATCTTTTATGAACAAATTAAGAAATATACTTCATTCACAAATTGGAAATATTTACAATTTCTTTACAACAAGGCATTGTTGAGGTTTTGATTTATGGCATTCTTAGAGCATTCTGTCTTTCAAAACAAAGACATTGGCGTTGTTTTCAGCACACTGTTCATTTACACTCTGCATGTGAAATGGGAGCATTTTGGAAGAGTAATTTGCACTCTCTTTTTGATACAATCTACTGGGCAAACAGGCTGGATGCATTTGCAGTGTGAAAAGGAGGCTTGTGCAGATGCGTTGCTGGTACCATGCCACATGATCTGAAGCCACCATATTACACCAGATGCTGCTGACTGCAGAGGACAAAAAAAATTCTCCAGAGCCATCCTTCCTCTGCCCTTTTCCATTCTCTTCAGGAATCGTGTGGTTGGGTTAGGTGTGGTATAGTTACATTATTTTTTTCTGGTTTTTGAGTCTTCATAAGAAGAGTCTTGAGAAGTCTATTTCAAATACTATCACAATTCTGAACAGTTTTTCAGACAAAGAGTATCCAGGAAGTGAATAAATACTGTATATCCGCAAAATGTTTAGGAGATAAATTTTGAACATGTTTCTAAAAGGGAAATGTAACTGTGCTGTTCTGCAGTTGTGACACTTGAGCCATAAAAGCTAAGATAATTCCATTTTCTCAATTTCTGGAAGTCATTTTTATTTTCCTGAAGAAAATTCTAAAACCATTTCATTCCACGGAACTTTAAAAAATCTCTTAGTATACGCTTCCATTATAAATGAGATGTGGGCCACCATTGCTTAGGTTGTCTGTCATTTCCTGCAACAAGAAAAGAAGAGATTGATACAAATTACAATTAGCTCACAGTGTTTGGAATTTAGTTCGCTAAGGTTGGAATAAATACTTCAATTCTGAATGCCAAACATTCTGAAAAACTACATTTTTTATTTAGCTTTGTAAATTTTACTTTAAAGGAAAAGTAATCTTCATGTGTAAATTAAATACATTGGAAAGCTTCTTGACTCGTTGATACTGATTGAGTTGTACATTACTCTCAGACCGTGTATAAAGCACTGATGGCATCCCTGCAAGTTTTGTGACATTGTCCTTTAAAAGTGCATCAACTCAAACTTGTGCAGGGATCTACAAAGGAACAAAACAGTAATCAAGTTTTCATTCAAACCTTTTTCCTGTGCTGACATACTGCAAACAGATACCTTTTGATACCAGCTGGGATAGACATTTTGTCATGTAAATCTATATCCAAAGAAGACCCAAAGGGCATTGATGCCTGGGAGAAGACAACTTGTCTTGGGATAGGACTGATTTTGATTTTCCCTTAATTTGCCAGGCTACAATTTTAGCAATTCAGCAGTTGCTCTTCAAGTGGCAGTTGAGTCATCCCAAAGAAAGGTGACCTGCTCATGAGACAGAATCCTAAGGCACCTAAGCCAGGATTTGTTTGGAGTTAGATTTTCTAACTTTCAAACTGTGGTTCAAACCATACCTACTTAGCAGCTGTCTAAGCCCTCAGATGACTGTATTCATTAAGCACTTCTCTAACCTTCAAGGCTGCTAATCTTCATGGAATTTATGCCCAGAAATGCCTGATTTTGAGCAGTCCTAAGCCTGTTTCACAACAAATTGAATTAGGATGCGGAAATAAATTGACCTGTTGCTTACATCCAGTGACAGATCCCAGAGAACATCCAACAGTGCAAATGAGTGCACATAAATATACAGTTTGGGCTATTCTTTTTAAACTTAGACAGGTAAGATAGAGGTACCACTGTTATGCTGTTTTTAAAATATTTGCTTGAGAACCAGTAGCTTTTCTCTGCATGGAAATATTGAAATTCACCTCTTATGCTTCTTAGGTATAGTTGGAGGAAATGTTGAAGAAAATAGTTGTATTTTTTGCCCTTCCTATGGAAGTTTCTGTCAAGAAAATAAAGCAAGAATCACTGGGCTAAAAAAAGAAAAGGGGAAGGATAGGAGGAAAATCCCTGATTCTATTGTATAGTAGCTGGTAAATTTGGTAAAGATAATGCAATTATGGGGCCTAGTTTTTATTCCCAATTGGCCCCTTTCTTTTTCTCCTTTTAATACACTTATTGCATTTATATATAGTATGGGAAGCACAGACCAGAACTCAAAGTTTCACATAAAGCTACAATTTAAAATAGATTACAAAGCATAATTGTTCCCCCCCCTTTATGTTTTCTGAAAGAAGAGACATATTATTCTCTACATAGTAAACTTAGGGCCATGAAACCAAACGAACAAGGCAATCAATAGTTTTAAGCTTCAAATAAGAGAAGGTGTATAAACTTTCCAAATTTTGAGCATTTTCTATCACCCACATCTCAGTTTGGATACTGATGCTAGGTATTTTTATATGGTACCTTATTCTCCTTAAAAACTGGAAACATCTAGAAAACATTGTTTTCTAGATTCCTGTCTTGAGGCTACCTGCTCAGAAACAAGGCAGTACAGCTGTCAGCTTGTAGGTACCTGAAACCTTTGTCTGTTATAAACTGAAGTTATTGGTCAGCTGGGAAAGCGAGCAAACACCAGTGTCATTTAATATTAACTATCAGCCACAAGTAAAAAGAAATGCTCTGTCAGAAGGCTACCCAAGAGTGAGTGGCAAAATGTATGTTTCCTTTTGTCAGTTTTACCACTTGAATTCTTTGTAGACATTAGCTATTCAGATATCAGCAGAACTTCAGAAAAAATTCAGAACCATTTATTTTCCCCAATATTTCTATCCTCAAATATAAAAGTACTAATAAATTAAAAGATGTTGCTGAATTTAAGAAATGAAGGAGCACACAGATTAGAAGCAAAGTGAATCAATGGTGGCAGCATCCAAATAAGAGCATTTGGATGTCTGTAACTAGGGTGAATATTTTAAATACTCAACTTACTTCCAGATTGTAGCATTCACCACCTAGAATTATGTCACCACTTGGAAGCACCATTCCTGACCCAGAGTGACATCACAGCATCAGCCAACTTTGATTAGCTAAAACTGTGACTTCCTCTTAGAGAAGTCACTTCCTGAGGTGACATAACAACGTGGTAGCTCCCTAGTGGTCAGCGTACCTTGGAGGTAACTCTGGTGTCGGGGGAATCACCGGGCAGCTGGGCAGGTCGGTTATTTCAATACCCCTCAATCTCTAATATAAATATAACAATTATACAATAAATATAGCACAAACAAAAATACACATGCAGTACATGTCCACATTACTGTATATCAGTATAAATATACAAAAAAGTTTTATATATAAAACACTAAAACTGTTTTTTAAATTAAAGCCTAATTTAGTATGACTTTTTAAGTTGTTTTCATTCTTTTCTAAGAGCATGCCTTGAGCTAATGTACTCAGACCTGCCAGCAGCAGGCAGTCTGCAGTCTGTAGGTCTGAGAAGTCCCAGATCACATCAACTATACATGCATACTTGATTCTACACACATGCAGCGAGTCCACCACTGGTGGAGCTCATTTCACATTCACTGAGCATGTGCAAAAAAGTTGCTCTGCTCATGCATCATGGTCCTTCACCCAAGGTAAGTGGGCATCTGGCAGTCCTCACAGCTACTTGTCTAAAACCTCAGTAGATCAACAGGCAAGCAAATGGGGCAGAGAACTACTGCTATACATAGTCACCTCCAGCCCAAATTGATAGGGTTAGCAGTTGCTTGCTTTCTGAAAGACGTTTTGCCAAGACATTTCTTTTGTCTATACCTTTCTCTTTTTGTCTCAGATGGGCTCCATCTTTGTCCTTAATGTGGTAAGAGCTTCCTTGAAAGGCAGGATCTAGCCTACTGTCTGCAAGACCATGATAATATTTGCCTATTTAGCTTATCAGAATTCATTTTAAAATGAGAAGGAGAAACGTATTTCTTCCCTAGATTTTATGTTGTCTTGTTTTATGTTGCTGCTGTAGCCTATAATAAATAATTTTAAAAACTTGTTTCAAACATTTTTTAAGGTGAATTAATCTGAATTTCTGCTTGGATTTTCATTGCAGATAAAAAAATGAAAAATCTAATAGTGACAAGTAATGTTTACTTAATGAACAATTAGTTGCTATACTGTGATCAGGGGATCTGAGAACATTCTAAGCTCTGAATGAATTAATCCTCTCACTAGTATTCAGAGATCTCAGTAGTTGAACGTAGCTGTAATGTGAACTGGCATGTGGCAGCTTAGATAGGCAGTCCACATGACTGCTGTTCATTTCTCTAATCATTTCTCAAATGAAAGTCATTCAGTACTAACCTAAAACATGAAGAAGAGGATGTCAGTAAACATCTTACTTCTTGAAAATGAATCAGATCCCTAATTTCAATTGCTTATTTCAAGAATTACATTAAATTTATTTATTTTTGTCCTTTTATACTCAACTTTACACTGTGGTAAGCTTCCTTTGAGCAGAGAAATGCAATAAACGCTTGGTGCCTCCGCAAATCAGAACAGTTTGATTTAGGTGTCTAAATATGCCCTTAGGTGCTTAGTTTTAGTCTTCTAGGTTTGTGAGCTACGGCTTTTGTGTTTAAATGACCTACATTATAAGCTGAGTACTTGGGAGAGGAAGAAATTTATTAAACCTGGAAGCATGCAATGATGTGGTTACAGAAAGCGTTCCGTGCTTTTTCACAGTACAGTACATGATAATCCATATTAATAAGGCTTCCAATTATTTATGATGTGCTATATTTAGCAGCTGAGCCCCTGGATAGCTATACAATGGAATTGTGTTGAAAATGGATGTACTTCATTGAAATGGATGTACTGCAAATATACAGTACCTAAAAATAGCTCCATATAATGCAACGTAATAAAGCGTACACAGAATGGCAGTTTCATTTCCCAGAAGCTCTCTCTCATATAAAACTAAAAATTGAACACACTTATTGCCAATTATATACATTAACACATATAGTAGTTTTTTAAGGGAAGCAGAACAAATAAAGAAAAACACACAACTCACTTTTTCTGCCATTTCATGGGAGTGATGCAATGAATGTTCTCTTTCTGAGAACATTCGCCTTTGTTCATAGCTGGCTAGCCGACAAGTGAGCCATGAAGAAAGGGTGCAACCACCAATTCCAATGCATGCAAGAGACATGGAGGCAAGATGCAAAGAATAGAGAGCAGACGACTTCTTTGTGAGAGCACGAAGAAATTGAAAATTTAAAATTCCTCCGATTAGTCCACAGATGCAACAGGCAGAAAAAAGTATCATCTGTCAGGAAAGACGAGAGGTTATGTCACAGTAACATTTCTCAGAGACAGGTTCATTCATATAAGAAATGAGACCGGCTCGGACCCTCACTAAGATTCAGTTTATAACTCCCACAGCTCCCACAGAACTCCAAGGGAGTACAGTACTATTATGTACAACAGTTAAGACTGATATTGCATATAAGGTAAAGTTTGGTAGACTAAGTTGCCCATGCTAAAAAAATAATAAATGAAATGACTACTAGGATACAAATCTTCTGATTTCCAGTCTTTCATTCAGGACAGGAATGTAACAGAATACATCATAATTCTCTATTGTGCAGTTTCTCATTCACAAGTGAATGCCTCATGTATTTGTGCAATTCTCTCTTGTTTGTATAACAACTGTCTGTGCCTCTTTGATTCTAATTTGTTCAGTCTAACACCAACTTGCAGACATTCTACGGTTTTTTTGTGGGGGCACCAGATGTGTTTAATGTGACTGTGCTGGACGAGGAAACAACAGAAATTTAAAAATTTAGGCATCTCTACTGAAGTACAGAGTGGACTACATTTGTATTTTTTTTTTTTTTAATGTGGTTAAAACGCTTTTGGGAAGTGAAACAGGCTGCAATTATGGAAACATATTTAAAGACCTCATTACTATAATCACAAAGATGCCATATCTGGTTCAGGATTCTTTCAGCCACAAATAATTTGAGGTCAAACGACCTTATTATGGGCCTACTGCTAAATGATTGCCTTATTCACGTCCCCAGATGTTGATCTAGATGGGCCTTTGATATGTCTCAGTATGATTTTATATACCTACTTATTTAATATTAAATAAACAGTTTAAAGGAGCTTTGCAAACTACTTCTGTGCTAAACTGAGATGAGAATTTTGTCAGGGAGGTAACAATCAGACTCTATTATGCAGTCCACTAGGAAGTGACTACTGCTTGAGACCACCAGAACAGACAGCCTTGGGGAAATGAGTGTGGTCAACATGTTTTAAAAAAATGACACTGTAATTGGAACAGACTTTGGAGTAATTCATTGGTATTCAAAAATAGTAAGAGAGAGAGATTGATTCCCTTCACACACTTGTTTTACAAGACTTCCACGTGTGCACAGCAGGACATCAAAACTGACTGAGAATTAAAGCCAGACATTATCACTTATAATAGGGTTGGGTCTTTAACATAAAGACAAAAGGTGTGCAGTGACAAAAGTCCTGTTTCAATCTTTACCAAAGAAGGAATGAAAATTCAATAATTCAATCCAATGTTCAATCCTCTTTCTTGATCTGTCATAGGTTTCTGTCAAGAATTTTTCCATCCACACAGGGAGAATTAGGGATGTATAGCTTAAATAGGCATGACATAAATATGCCATTTCAGAACTGCTTTGTATTGCTTGATGAACCCAAGGTACTGATTGCTTTCCTTGGACTGCTGCCTTGCAATGTTTACTGATTTTTTACCAAAAACACTTGGAAACAGTAAATCTCAAGTAGAAAGTTCAAGTTACATAAGTATGACTTTCAAATACTTGTGTGTTATATATGTACTGGAAAAACTTACGATAAGTCCGGATTTTTTTTTGGCACACAATATTCCACATATGCCACAAAGCAGAAACTGAAAAGAAAAAAAAAGAAAAAAAAAAAAACAACACAATTATTTCATCCTTACGGTCTCAAATTTAAATCTTTCTGTGTTGCTATAGTGGTGACCACAACAGTAGGTTAGGCAATGATCATAGTTGTCAGCATTTTCATTACAAACCTTGTATTTCAGGAAGATATATCTCAGCTTTAAACACACTTATCCAAGCAGAAACTAGATTGAGAAGGCAGATTGAGGATGAACATAAAAATGTAAAAATAGAAAATAAAAAAAAGCTTCATTAGGTAGTGATTGCTGATCCAAATCCTACTTCATCTACTTTCAAATCTACCTAATGCCCTAATCCTGAGGCGTGAACTACTGAGGGATCGTGTATGGATTCTTGTTCTCAAGACAGTGGAACTCTGGACAAGAGTACAGGTCAGTCAACTTGGCAGGTGCAAATGTAAATACTGAGGACATCTGTTGATGTGGTTACAATGAATGTGCTGTAGAAATTGTTTCACATTTTAGATAGTCCTTGCTGTGGGAAATAGCATGAAGGTATCTGTTCTTTTTCATGCATTTCCCTTTTACAAACAGATCTGACAGTTACAACATCAAGCATTAGGCAAAATTTGATTAACAAAACCAAAGATACTCCCACACCAACTGATCGTTATGAATAAATTTTAATGTTTTTTAATGACCTCTGCCGAAGACCAGTAACATTCTCTAATGTCTCTTTCTCCTCCTGTAGAAAAGTTTCAGAATAGTCCCTGAAGGCATAGTCAAGGCAGAAACACCACTAACTGCGTGAAAGCAAGAAGAACTTCTCTAGGTGTTTGTAATTCTGTCAAAAGATTCCTTCGATACCTCATAAATTCCGTGGTTAAGAAGTCCATGCTACTTATTTTCAATAAAACTAAATACTTATTTTCAATAAAACTAACTCTATGTCTTTACCAGAAGTAGTTTTGTAGTTTTAAGATTGGATTTTTCCAAATCCTTTTTACTCTGAGGTTGTATTTCTAGCAAAAAGCTTCAGTTGACCTTGTCTGAACAGGCCTGGCTATTGCATAAGCAGTTAAAAAAATAAATAAAAATTGTTTATATACAGCATATATATATATATATGTATATACATATATATATACGTATATATATATGTATATAGCATATATATTTTATTTAGCTTTCAAAATTTTGCAGTATCTCAATACTCAGTTGAGGATCTGCTTTAATATACAGTTTATCTCACTTTCAAATTAAGTTGTTCATGCATTTAGGTAGGTAGGTAAGCCTTGAGATGTATTTTTACTCTGAGTTTACTTGGTTTCCCACAGTTAATATAGTTAAATGCTGCGTGTTATTTACCAGTCTGCTATGAATGGGATGTATGGCATACGGACATAGTACCAATCTGATCATAGAGAAGGCTGGGTCATGTACACCATGGCACTGGGTGGCTCAGGACACACACAGCTGATAATTGCTGCTAAGGCTGGAATAATAATAATAAAAACAACAGCAACAAAAAACTAATATGAACAACTGTCATTTTCCCACAGGCAAAAGAGCTCTTAACTAGCACATCTGCTTTGTAAGTTTTTACTCGAGCTTTCTGTAAAGTTTTAAAATTTCACTCCCAATTCACTCCAAATCACCTTTAAGCAGTACTGCATACTTATATTACCTAGAATATTTCCCTGTTGAAATCCAAAGAATATTGAAAAAGGTGACCAGCAGGGTATAAGATGCTGGTGTCCAAAAAATGAGTGATTATGTTATTCCATAGATATTGAAGTATTTGAAGGGACTACCTGGAGTAAGGTTTTATTGTGTCAGTCTCTAGTTTCTGTATGCACTTTCTTTCTCTGTACAGCTACTATATATACACAAGAAAAAAATATATAAATAAGAAATGCAACAATATAAGAAATAAGATGTTCTGCATTGAAAGAACGGTTGGACTAGATGATCTTACAGGTCCTTTCCAACCTTGTGATTCTATAACTCAGCGGAGAACTCAAGGGAATTGGTTATCCCTGGTTCTGTAATATTCTTCTCTGTAAGCCTATAAAAGTCATGCCTAAATTTTAGAATTCATATGACTACAAGACAAGCAAGCTGTAAAACTGAATGAACTAGTGAGCATGAACATACTAAAAACCATTGATTAAAAACATTTGAGGAGTAGCAAAAGATAACTATTATCTATTGTTGTTTTGTGGTTTTGTATTATTTTTTTTTAGATAATAGTGGTGAGGCATGGAAACGGACTGCCCAAGGAAGTCGCTATCCCTGGAGGTTTTCAAGAAACATGTGGATGTGGCATTTTGGGAGGTGGCTTTGTGGACATGAGTTGACAGTTGAGCTGGAAAATCTTAATGATCTTTTCCAATCATTAATTCTATGATTCTATAATTCCCAGAGAAAAGTTTTGTTCAGAAAACAATATGATTATTTATTTATAAAAGTAGTTATTTTTTCTATTAAAACCGATGGATGAATTTGAACTACATCAGGCAATTAAACCTCATGCAAAGCTTTGAAAATGCTTATCCCTCTCTTTGGAGGCTGTAGAGAATTCTGATCTACTAGGAAAAAAATGGAATGTTGCTTGACAGAAAGAAAATTTGTGACACATGGAGCACAAGAGCACTGCTCAGAGTTGCCTTTGCCAGGCTTCTCAGTACAAAGACCTTTAGAAAAGTTAGGAAGTCAGACAATATTTTGTGATTGACTGTGACAATTTCTTTTTGACAGACCAACTAACAGCTCTGGAATTTTCTTCTTGGTGCTATAGTAATTTTCTGTAACATTTTTGAGGTCCCAGAGCTATAGTCAGCACTAGTAAAAAGTAGATGGGAAAAACTATTCTGACTCTTTCTACCACAAAAATACTGAGTACACATCAGTCTCAAAAGGAATTTCCTGTGTTTGTTCTGGTTTATCTTTTAGTTTTGAGTTCTTCTCTTTTATAATACTGCCAGCTGGAATACAGCCATCAGGGGCTCTGCTGTATTGCCACTCCCTATCTATTCCTGATAATCTTGAAATATTTCACCTTCAGGTTGGTGCCATAGCATTTAAACTTGACTTGTAACTGTTGACTGTGGTTTATGCATGCCTAACTAATACTGTCATGTTGAGGAATTGCTCCCTTCTACATGAGTATTGATTATATTCAGGCAATTTACCAACCTCTTGGACTCTTTAATGTAGTTACATTTTCTAACTATGTCAAACCTGAAGTAAGTTAAGGCAAACAGACTTGTGTTAAAATACAGTAAATCAGGAGCGGAAAAGAAATATGTCATCGAAGATAAGCTCCTTATAAAGACTGATCAATTGTTCAAGTGTTAACTCATACTGCAAATAAGCCTAAAACATTTCATAAAGGATAAGCCAAATTAATAAACCCTCCAAGATGCCTAGGAAACTAGAGAGAAATGTTGAAGCATGTTTCACAGTTGTACCTTGTTTTAAATTTTATTTTGTGATTATAATTCATCAGAAAATTCATAAGAGAAAAGATCAAAACCTCACTTTAAAAAAATGACATATTTCACTATTTGCAAGCAATTCCCATTATTTCTGGGGTTACTTTTGCTTGCAGATTTAGTCATACCTGCCAAAATACATGATATTTCAGGTTAAGATTATCAGAAGGAGGCAGGGACTGAATGTATAACAGATAAAAGCAGAATCTCCCTTGGATGATTGGTAAAAAATCCAGGGAAAGATATCACAAAACACAAAAGCTTCTTAGACTCCTTTTGAATCTCAGTAGGCTGTGAGAGCTTCACTCCCACTTCCAATGAAAATTTTCTAGGAACCTAGCAAAGTCAGAGTCCTCCTGTTAGCACAGGTGTGATTGCAAGGTGATGCACGGTATATGTGCCTGTGGAGACTTTGCCACTCACCTTACAGCTGTGCCTGCTTCTATTTAATATGCATATTTTAAAATCTCTCTTTTGGCCTGTTGAAACTTAGAATAAAGAAACAAAGACCACCCAGAAAAGGATAATGTATATTTTAAGCTTGCTTTAATATATTTTATATTAAATTGGGCTTGAAACAGAAGCTCATATCCAAACACCCAGAAATTTTGGTAAGGAGGCTGAAATCTTAATTTAGATTCAAGTTTTGTGACTTGGATCAATCCCTATTTCATATTCTCTGAAACAAAAGACTTGGCCTCATTCACTTTTTCCTGGAAAAAGAAGTTTTTCTTACTTGCATTCTGGAAAAAAAAAAAAAAGATTCAGTTTCAGTTACATTTGCAGAAAGCAAAAGATTTGATGACTTCCATCATGCAGAAGAAAATGAACTGCTTTTACACTTCATGTTGAACTTCATTGGAGGAGGAGGCAAAAGTAGTGGTGAATAAAATTCCTCTAAGAAAATAAACTGTCCATGGAAACTTTCTGGAGAGATAAAGAAAAGAGTCAAGAAAACCTGTTGAACATAAGGACTGCTTGATCACCAGTTATTGCTCGTGACAAAGAAGCACAGACTACATCCACTGAGTGGAGAGCCCTCTGGCATTTTTGGTCATCCACATGTATCTGATGAAATAGAGGAAATTATTTCAAATCTGTGTTGGATTAGTGTTTCCTTTCATCTGGTTTTAGGACTTCAGAGATGGTTTAAAATTGGGAAATGTTTTTTAGAAGAACTCAGGGAAATTTAGAATTGAGTCTCCGAAGCTGAATGTCTTCCTGCCATCAGTGATTCACAAAATATCTCGCTGTCTGGAAAAACTTCTCGGCACAAAACAATACTTAATTACTTGTTCAGAGCTTACTTTGGAGTAATAGATATTAAATGATTTTTAATTATGTTGTTTTCTATCAAACACTTAGAGTATGACTGCTTTTTTCTCAGCAACTAATAAATTAAGAATTATTCCCTGCAGGTTAATAGCAAAAGATTTCAGCTTATACTTAAGTCAATCTATATTCAGCATTCAGATACTCCTAAATACAAGCCAGGCAGTAGAAGTTTGTGTGAACAGATCATCTTGCAGATTGGTGTGTGCTTCTGGGAGGTCTGAATGATAAAGAAAATCTGCTGAAAGACTCCTCAGCTGGAGTGAATTGTTCTGGTTCCATGCAAGGCAAGAAGCTTCTACACTTGGTACACCCTCTCTTATCTACAGATACAGAAGTCTCTCCAGTTCCACTGAGTTCACTGACAGTGCTGCAATTCATTTCATTAGGATAAGGAGCCAGCCAGAAATAGGGTCAGTTTGATGAAAATTCAGTACATATGTTGAAATACAGTAGGATCACATCTGCATTTGGTCTGCATGATAAACAATAGTGTGATTTTTCTGTGTTCTTTAAAAACAAATAAAAAAAAAAATTACTAGATGTTCTTTTCCAAAAGAAACTTGGCAACAGTAAGAGCTAAATGCAAAAATGAATGTTTTAAAATTTTAGACCACCAACATTATTTAATAGTCCAAAGTGATACTCCTGCTCTGGGAAAGTTTCCTACTGATCGAACCTTTCTCTTTTCCTTCAAATCCTGGATTTAAAAAAAAAAAAGTGCTTTAAGTGCCAACTTGGAGCAAATTTCTATAGCTAAACTGTAAATGCACATTTTTAATGGATGGAGAATTCTACAGTGCTACAATCAAGAATTATGGGAATATCTGGTGCTACAGATAAACATCCAGAGATTGCATATTGATTAAATGCATTTAGGTATTTATCTCTGTAAGTGAAGAAGCTGTCTCTCTGAGGGGCATATCCAGAAGTGAAACATCAAGTTTCTCTCTTGTAAGTGAATATAGATGGCACATTTGGCTGAAGATGTGGCTTTTGTCTCTTTCTTTCTCAGGAAGAGTCTTGTCTGTAGCAAGAATTTGTTCATCATTGAAGAATAAAAGAGAATTAGAGCCATATATGTATATGTGAGTATATAAATAGTGATAGTGATGCAACTACTATGTTCCAAGTATAAATGGGCGAGTATAGGACCATTTAAAAATATATATATGAATATGTTTTGAAATATTATCTTTCTTTCTTCTTCTTCTATTTATTTATTTACTTAGTACAAAAGTCTTTGCAATGGCTGCTGTCATTCTTGCTGTGTTAGTGGTAGTGGCTCAGCATGCCCCTTGGATGGATCGTTTCTATGGTACACCACATAACTGAATTGGAATGGTAGATTTCAGAACTGTGCCTCAATCTCTAGTTACAGAAATTTGGGAGGCACCGAGTACAGCCTGTGGAGCTTGTGGAGTAGATTGTATCAAGGCAATCATTAAAAACAAACAAACAAAAAAACCACCAGAAAGAACATCCAGAAATCAAGAACATCTTAAGAGACTTTGGACTGTATGTTATTTTGGTAATTTATCATAGAATCATAGAATGGCTTGGGTTGGAAGGTACCTCAGGGATCATCAATCTCCAACCCCCCTGCTGCATGCAGAGCCACCAACCAAATTTAGCAACCATGGCCAATTTTCAAAAGAACAGATTGCATATAATGTAAAAGAAATTAGATATTCATCTACACGTGCTCTGGAGAATTTGCTACAGCTGTTTTATTTTGGCTTCTTTTTAAACAACTTTTAGCATCTTAATCCACTCAACTTAAATGAGAACAACAAATTTAGAATCTATTTTCCCATTTCCATGCATTTTTTATGTAGACATTCTCTAGGCTTTCCATTTCTTCATTATTGTTTACTCCATTTTCTCAGGCTTCCTCATAAATAATGCAGAGCATGCAATGATCAGAGCACTTGAGCCTAAGCTTAACTTCACTTGTATCTAATCTCATGGGCGAGATTCACGTGTTTAAAGTAAGGTGTGTTAGTAAATTATCTGGCTGAATGAAGATGATGAACAAAAATAACAACTCTTTAAGAAAAAAGCTAATGTATGTCAAATAAAAGACATCAGAGGGAGGCAAGTATAACATAGAATGTGTATGATTTTAAGATTCCCAAATTTTAGGAATGCAGGCTAAGGTTTCCATGGTGATGCTATCTTCATCTGTTTCGTTATGAACTTGGGCCTCTGCTGAGTTCCACCCACATCAGTAAAAAGCAGAACAGGGTCAAAAGTTTTAAGTATATTTTCAGGTAAATTACTACAGGACACTGTTCCACTTAACTTGAGTGTTGGTTTGAATCCTAACATATCAAATGTCAGGTTTTCCACTGATGTCACTTTCTTTTTTTTCATTGTTCGTTTCTCCAAGGAAAACCCTGATTCAAGAATGTTAATCAGAAAAAAATAAAAATTAAAAAAAATTACATACTTTATGCAAGACATATTCTTTATACAGCCAACATGTGTTCAGTGTAAGTGAATAGAAAGGTGAGTTATGCCATTTCTGCAGCATCACAGTTCTGGGGATCGTGTAAACAAACCTTTCTCCAGTTCTTTTGACTTGGACCTAAGCATCCCTGCAGAGCAGTAGGTCTCTGGCTCTGTTCTTGTCCCATCTCAACTGCCAGTCTCTAGTCAGGACACATCCTTACAGCCATTTGAACCACTTGAGTGATACAAAGAGGATGCAACATGTGACAATTTAGACAAAGGTCTCTAGCTCAATGCAAAGTAAGTAAGCCTTTATGATGTGTAATCCCAATCTACATACTGCTGATTTCTTATTTTCTTTACTACACACAACATAAACTACTTGCTTTTGCTGTATTTCTTTGTGGCCTCCTCCTGTCTACCCATCCTGCTGACAATGGTCAAACAATTGATGCCTGTCTGTACTGCCTCTGACTGTGGGCATCCTTCACCCAGGTGTTACACGTTCAAACAAATCTCTTTGGTTTCCCTTCCATGACTCCACATTCACATACAGGCAGAATTTTCTATAATCACCTGGAAAATCACTTCATTGTTTTCTATATTACCTCTCTCTAAATCTCTACCTACAAACAGCTTGAAATCAGTCAGGCTGCTGATGTGCTAATGCAACCACCTGTTATACCAATCAATTTTGATTTGTCCTTTAATTCTACAATTGTCTCTTTCTTTGTTTGTAAGGTTCTTGGAGACAACATCTAATACAACAGAATATTAGTCTGTGTCTACTACAAACTGTGGGATAACAGAAACCATAAAAATGAATTAAGCAATTGTGCAGGAAATGTGCATTGTCATGGAATGGTATCAGCTGTGATTGCATTGTCACAAAATGCAATCACTGCATAAAATTCTGATCTCACTGACTGGTCAGAATTCTCAGAAGCCAGGATGTTATCTATGTTTAGATCCTCAGATAGACACATTTTTGAGTAATCTTTTTTCTTCATCAACAATGGTCAGAAGCCTTGCTTTTAGAACTGATTTTGATAATAACGTTACCTGCTGGCTGGTCCTAAATCACTGTGTCTTCATTCTCATATCTCACCTACCTGTTCTGTAATGCAGAATTATGTGCTTATGTACTGCCATAGATATCTATGACTGTTGTCTATAATTAATAAGTATTGACAGTGAGAATATTACATGAAGCACTCTGTCAGAATTAATCTATAAATCACAGGAGGTTACACTGTTGAATAACCCAGAATTTGTTGCACTTAACATCTCATCTCAAGCAATGCAACCAATGTTTTTAGAAATACTGTTGTTCAATCCAGGCTGGCAAAACAAACAAACAAACAAAAAAAAAACCAACAACAAAAAACAGCTTTGGAGTTCAAAAATGCCCACTCATGTTCAGGATGAATTTTCAATATTACCTACTCTTTTCTCCCTAAAGATGTATAACAATTCAGAGGAAAACACTTCCTAGAAGCATGTTTATCTCAAACTGAAGAATTAAGAAAGGTTTTTGAGAAGTGAGAAATGCTTATTATTAAGGACGTGGTTCTTCTCTGTTATGAACATGCTTCTACTATTAACCCATTCTTGCTGCTTGATATTTATGGTCATTTCATGAGAAGCTCAGGGTGCCCAAATCATGAGAACATCTTTCATTTTCCTTCCAATTTCGACTTTCTCTTTTCCTTCCAGAAGCTCAAAACTCACAACTCGACATTATTTTAAAGCACTTTTTGACAGTCTTGCCATAAGGAACAGGGCTGTTCTTTTTAAAAAACAAAGCTCTTAATTCGAAGATTACAAGCTATGACCCAGACTCCTTAATGCTGGAAGCTCTTGAGGTATGTGCTAAGTGTGAGAATGGGTTCACAGAAAGTTCAGTTGTTTACAGCAAAATAATAATAATAATAATAATAATAACAATAATAATAACAATAATAAAAGGGAGAAAAAATAAATTTGAAAAAAAAGGAAAAAAGCGAGAAAGAAATGTTCCCATGCCCCGACACAAGACACGTCTCCTCCCGCCGTCCCGCGCCCCGCGAGAATGCAGACTATACCCCATGCACATCGGAAATGGACCCGGCGCGGCTCCCGGAGCAGCATGCACGCGCGGAAGGGAAGGGAAGGGAAGGGAGGGGTCGGGGGTGCCTCCGCACGGTCTGATCATCACCGTAAAGAGTTAAAGAGAGAGTGAAATGGCTAACGTACACACACCCCGCTCCATACCGGAGAAGAGTCTCCCAGTTGAGGTTTATGCTCTGTGAGGACCAGGCTGAAACTGACCGCCCCCACGGCCACGCTGGACACCCCTAACCCTATCTCCAGCACGGAGAGCACCAGGAGGCTCCCGATGATCTGGCTGCTGGTGCACATCCTCCCTCGGTCATCCTTCCTTCCCGATCAGCCGGGGAAACCGCGCCTCCGCCTTCTCCTCCGCCGCTCCCGCGGCCCTAAGTCGCCCCCAAACTTTTCTTTCTTCGCCGGCAGCCGGGGCGGAGCGGAGCATCCGCGACAGCCGGGTGCTGCCGAGAGGCGGCGGGGCGGCCCCGGCGCCGCGGGGCCCCGCGTAGAGCCGCGCAGCGCCGCGCAGCGCCGCGCAGCGCCCGACCGGTAGCGAGTGCGGCGGCGGCGGCGGCGGCGCGGAGCTCTCCAAGGTGCCGGGCCGGCGGCGGGGACAGGGCGCCGCTGGCGGCCGGCCGGGCAGCGCGGCGGTATGCAGCACCACGCTCCTCAGGGGCTGCGCCTCCTCCGGAAAAGTCGACCTTGTCTGATCGCCTCCTGCGCTCACATTGAAATGACCTCACTGAGATTTTTTATTTTTTTTTTTAGTTTCTCCCCCTCTTTCTCTTCTTGGGTTGGGGATGGAAGGGAGAGGAGCGTGGCGAGCCCACCGCAGCTATATTTATGTATGAATCTAGACCCAATGCACGGGCGAGGCGCTTCGACAGCCCCGCCCCAGGTGCCACGGCACCTTCCTCTCGTCCTCCCCCCGGCACCCGGTTCTCACACGTCCTCCGTCCCGCAGTACTTGCACAATAAGTGAGCCCCCTGGATGGAGTGCACGTAGGCCTCTCTCATCCCAGGGGCTTCTATAAAAAAGCAGGAGGAAGTCCATCTTCCCTTTGTATGAGTAAAAGGACTGGAGTCTATCATGTCTTACCACTGAGAAACTCTCAGATCTCTTCCAAAATGCTGCTGCCAAAGTAGACAACTGCTGTACACAGTCCTGTCACTCCAGCAATGGCCAGAACTATCTCAGTCCTAAAGTAAATGACCAGCAAAGCAAAATATAATAAGAGATCAACAGCCACTTATTGAGCTATTCTGAATTACTTGGTACCAATCTCTATTTCTGTTGCTCTTCTACAGGGAAGGCTTTGCCTCTCTTACTGCAGTTTCACAACTGAGATTTACTGTGCAACATGGAGACATACTCCATAAATACTAATCTAGAATGTGTGCTCTCATAAATATGGATAATCAGCTTGTGAATTGTTCACCTTAATGGGGCAGAAAGACTACATGAACAATTCTAACCCCATCAAGCTTCAAAAATATCAACATCCTGCAGGACATAGATTTTTTCTCGGTGCATTATTTTATTATATTGTTATTATTAACACAATATATATGGAGCTATTCTCTGTAGGCAAAAATGGAATATTCTTAACCTGTAAGGAAACCCTGTATTCAGGCATAAGAACCTAGAATAGTAGTCTAGACATACCCCCGTTTTGATGGTACAGTTTGGAGGCTAGAGTATAAAAGCAGCAGGATCCTGATATCTTGTTTCTGTCTTGTGCTTTGGAAAGACATCCATTCAATCACTCTTATAAGAGGAGAATAAGCAGTACACGTACATTATGCACACTTGAGAAGGTGAGATTCACCGATACAATCCAGAGTTCAGATCTCATTTGTTGAAATCTTGCATACTTAATTGCTGTGAGTGGACTGGGCTGACATCAGTCTGTCACCATGTCAGTTGTTAATATTCTCTACATATCCAAGATGGAAAGAAAAGTCTCTTTTCATTAAGATCTCAATGTTTTCTACTTTAAAACTTTAGCTTTTTCATGTTTTCTTATTTTCCCAATTCACAGAAGCAAGGTAAGCGACTACTTCCCTACCTGTATTGTAGTTAAAGCTGGATTATCCCCTTTTCTTTTCTTGTGTTTTAAATGGTACCTGACATCTCCTATCATTAAAAAATCAAGGCACAGCATAAAAGTTCCTAAGTTACTATATTTATGTGGGAGGATGTAGAAAGCACAGATTTTCAAGTACCCACATGGGTGTAGGAAGGTGTTTCTGCAATGACAGTATCCTTATTATGTCAGATTGTTATAAACGTTAAAGTGTCCTAAGGTGCAACGGTTTTACTGCTCAGAGTATATTTTACCAGGACTATAAAAACCATTGGTGATAAGAGAGGAATTGCATAATGACAGATATAATTAATATATTTAATACTTCCAGCCAGAGAGTACCAGGGTAAAACTCATGTGACAGAAATAAGATTTCCATAAACAGCTTGTTTTATGTAACATTTCCACTTCAGTCATAATAAGCTGTCAGAAAGATGGGGGAAAGAGACCTTGTGAAAAGTGTGTCCTAGATGGTGATCACTTCATGTGACACTTGTTTCAACAGGGATATAAAACTGGAGTCCAGTGACAGGAGAGTAAGAGCTGTGGGTGCTTGCTTTCTAATCTGCAGACTGCAGGGAGGTGAAGAGCTGAGCGAGACCTCAGTCAGAGTTAATAAGACTGGCCAGGAGGAGCTGTGTGAGTTATCTCTGTTTTGCACCTTTCAAATAAAGGCAGGAAGGAAGTGTAATATTCTAATCATTATCTTTTTAAAATGAAAAGATACAGTCTTTGTCCATGTAATCATTTTAGTTTGTACTATGGTATTGCATTGTCATTATGTGCTGATCTAGGCAATTAACTTTACACATGGGACTATTCATGCATACATTTTAGCACATGCTTACATCTTTACGGCATTAAGGAGTTCTTTTCCAGGGTTATTTAACAGCTTACTGTCTCAGCTGGCTCATTTCAATATGTTTCCTTTATTTCTGTTTCCCATAACAAAATGGTTATGATGAAATAATAAAATAAAATAAATCATTCAGTGTGCAGAGAAGTTTTCATTACAACTGCTGACAGTTAAACATTGAAATCTCATCTTCAAAGTAAAATTAACTACAGTCAGGAGGACTTTGGATATTTTTTTAATTTAAACTGTTGGATTCAAGAACAAAAGTCATCAATCTTATTCTTCTTGACTTCTCTGAAGGAAAGCTTTTTCCAATTTTTTATCATTAGAGGTTTTTAAAAATAGTTGATGACCAAAAAAAAATCTAGTCACACAGTGGAATGAAGAGTAATTGGATGACAGTGTTGTAATGAAGAAATAGAACTCAAACTATGAAGTTTCAGTTTTTGTGGCTTTGATGGCTGAAAGGTGGAACACTAAGAAGATTATAGGCTGTCCATTGCAGACAACCATTTTTTGAGCATGTGATAGAGCTGCTTTGCACAGCTGAATATACCCTGTAGAAGTGGTTGAGTTTATTTACTCCATTATTTAATGTGTCTCTAAAACAAAGATCATTATTGTGAATAAGAACAGGATCCATATCATTGAATCAGATTTCTGGCCATTAATCCAATCCAGCTTCAGTACATGGAGAATAAAATTGTAAATCTATAGGCATCTCATGACTGCATAGTGGATACAGTTCCAAGAAGGGAGGTACTCACCCCCTAAACATTGATTCTAGTATTTAAGTGTTATATAGCAATATTGGGTAAATAAACAGAAACGTGAGTGGCTTTTGAAGCTGTTTTACTCTTTTAGCTTTTGTATGTTCTTTTCTAGCCCATCCTAAGGAATATCAGTTCCTAAATGATTGCTACCAAGATATTTACAAAATGTAAAAATGTACAAAATGTAAAAATTCAGCCTCAGGGACAGCTTGCAAATCCTCTTCTTTGACAAATACTTTCTGCTTTCCCCTGGCTTATAAGATTCCATCTCTTTACACTGATTTGTCACCTGGATCCCTTCAATTAAGTTTCACAGAAGCAAAAGCAGTGAAAATCTATACTCTAATGGTTTACAAGTGTTTGGGGCAATACATTGCTTTGTATTCTACAAAGAGATAGCCATTGATTTCATTCTAGAATCAGTTCTATCAGTTGAATCCTATCTACAGGAATGTGTACAAAACAGCCTTTAGAACATTCCTCCTTGTTTTCATAAGAACTTAACTCTTAGTTTATTTTATACCTTAACTTGTTCATACTCAAAACAAGCATGGCTGATGTTCTAAAACAGGAAGCAAAATTCCATCAGAATTTTATACAGGAGGAAAAAAATCACTTGTTTTCAGGTCTGGGTTGGATAGTGAAACTTGGATGGGCTCTCTAGTCCATCTCTAGTCCAAGCTAAAAGCAGGCATGAATTAATTTTTCCCCAACTTAGTCCTACCTACCCCTTGTGGTCTGCAATTAAGAGAATGCCTGTTTCCTGAAGACACTTTTTTTCTAGCTTGATTAGGAAGGGTCGTCCTTCAGCAGAAGAGATCAAAAATCTGTGTACAAATTTTAAGTCTTCTGTAACTCCTTGAAGGAGCAATCAAGTGCATGTGAAATTATTTACACCCATGTTACGTGTCAGTATATGAATCACAGGATCTTTAAAATGATTTACCTAGCAGCATGCTTAAAGTCTGCAGCTGAGCTGAGAAATTCTTCCATACAACATCAATATCCTGTTAAATAGGTGCCACATTGATATGGTTTCTGTGGAAACAGCAAGAAATTATGATAAACAGAAAAGACTACAATTTTCCCAAGAACTGTGTTATCTTGGCTCCACAGCAGATAATACTACGCTAGTGGAGCCCCCTGGATGCATTCACAAGGAGCAAAACCATGTTCTTCCAAAATCTCTGAACATTAATATGATATGCAGGACAGAGATTTCTGATTGAACAAGTACTCTGTTACTAACACAGATTTATTCATTGTAAAACTAACCCTATCAATTTCTTGGTGCAGTAGCAACATGTTAAACAGGCTTTCATAAAGAACTGGGCAACATGAAGTAGATTAAATGATACTAGGTAATGACATTAGGCAGAACTTTATAGACCCTTCATTTCTGTTTCACTTAAGAAGATGTGACCAACATTGCAATCTGGGGCAGAATGGAAGCCTAGTTGCCCTGGAAACTGTTTTGAATTGTGCAGTCCAGCATTGTGGACTTGCTAAGTATTTATGAGATAATTAATAATACATTCACCATCTGAGGAAAGACAGATAAGCTTTTGAATAGGGACACAGGAAAGTCCAGCTGTACCCACTTTCCAGTGGCGATCTCATAGCAGTTTCCTTTGAGAAAGAGCACTCTCTACTTAGGAGGAATTC